GTCTGTAATAGAAAAATTAACGAAAAACCTCACCTTCCACTTCTCACTACATTTCTTTGAGATCTCAGTTACTTGCACATTCTCATTCGGGTATTTCTTTTTGTGCTCTTCATAGCACATCTTTACAAAGAAGCCATAAGGCGAAGTTTTGCCACGAACCGGAGGTTTGCCAATGTCCCGCATTGACATAACAGAGTAAGAGACACCAGCACACGCAATTCTCTGAAACTCATGACATTGAAGTGCTCAATGCTCAAACTACCAATGACAAGTGCTTGGTCAAAAATGCAATTACGCTTATAATTGAAAAATGACAAATGTACACCTACCACCTAAATTGCGCATGTATCTCTGTCAAAACTTTAATCTATTCTGATACCCTGTCTTTCCGTCTTGTTTGGAACGCTCAAGCTCCCTATGAATGGATAGACTTCTTTCCTATCAACGTATTGTCAATTGCCTTTGCAACAGACATGCTGCGATCATAGATGAATCGAGTGCATTCCATGGAGCACATGACGTTGCATAGAAAATTTTGGTTTCAAAGCAATCTATCTGAACTACTATCCTGTGAGTAGTTTCTTCGTCAGTCAACGCAAGGCGTTCGAAAACCATCACGAGCATTACACACCTTGAGTGAACGAATAGTTCCAATCCAACTCGAGAAGAATACCCGAGGTTTGTTGACATAGACAAAACAGGTTTGCAAAATTCGCAAGTTTTCTTCCTCACGGCTAGTTATAATGACAGCAATGCAAGGGACTAGTGCAAGTTCCACCAGCCGACAAGTTCTGGCAAAAGTTCGGAATACTTTGGCTTCCGTTCCCATTATTATTAAATACAAAGATATTGCAAAAGAAAAGCAGCCATACTTACATAACAATCATAGGGCGTAATGACTATTCCGTGCAAAATCAAACTTCGAAAATGTGGCTTAGCAGGCAGAAGCTATAAATGATGTCTCAACAATTCAATGAGTACCATTATTCTAAGCTATCCTTGTAAAATGCAGAGTAAGGTCATGTCTCAGTTGATAAGTGTACGGAAAACGCACAT